CCAGAGCTCTGTTTTGTGCTGATGGTGTTCCACAAGGCCATCCATGTTTTTTTCCCTCCCTGGTCTCTGCTCTAACTCGTTGCAAGCTTATTTTGTTTGACCCCTCTCTGGTTTGTAATAGAGAGTCTGCCTAGCCTCCCAGAGCTGGCAGACTCTGGCAGTGGCAAGTCCCAGCTTGAAAAGCAGCTCCCCCTCCTCCCGTTCAAGCTGCCTCTGACCGGCCCCCTGAGAAATCCCCCCTCCTGCTGGAAATCAGACAGGTGCAGGAATGCTTGATAAGGTACAGGGGTCTCTGTTGAGTAGTCTGATTTTTCCATTAAGAAGAAACTGATTACATGTGTATTCTGGTCTAGTCCGTCAACAGTTTTCCTTATTCTCATGAAATAAGGAAATATGAAAAGAAAAAATGTTTTTACTAAACAATGAACACTTACTAAATAAGTCAAAATATAAAATTTGTCACTCTTTCAAAAGCATGGATTACATTGAGTCATGCCTTACAATTTTTGTTTAGAAGAGGACTCTGAATTAGCCAGGTATGTAAAAGTTGAAGTGTTCAAGTCATGGAGATTAAGAAGGGATTTCTTTGTAGGAAAAAAAAGTAAAACTTGTGGGCAAATAAGTATATTTACAGTCCCTGTACCAAGCAAGTGTAGTGACTTTTAGGAGCTTAAAATAGGCTGTACATAACTGGTTTTTCTCATGACATTTTCAAGATTTTTTTTCTCTTTTCTGTTCGTCCTTTTCCCCATCCACTGCAGCTCTAGAATTAGTATGAAATTCTGCTCACCTAAATTCTAAATAATTTTTAGAGATCTGAATTAATATTGAACTAACAAGCTATAAAGCCACACAGAGTTACTACAAGTTTTTCCAAATAATTGGGCACAAATCTAAAGCGAGCTGGAATCACTTTTAGTAAGAACCACAGGAGTAAAACCCAGAATAAAATGTTTCTTATAACCAGAAAGAAAATGGTAATCATGAATAAGAGGTCATTTTTAAACTTCAGTGGCCTACTTTATGTTTGTGTATACCATATAACTAATAAAAATAATTGTCTTACACATCACATGGGACCCAGCACAGGTATCAAGACCTAATAGGCACTCTAAGTACTTGCTTTTGATTCATTTATCATTTTTGAGTTCGCAATCTTCCTTGGGGACTTAGAATCCATTACGAAACGAAGATCTCATCGGGCTTCTGACAGTTCATTTATCAGCTCAATATGACATTAATATATGCTGAGGTCATTGCGTAAAAGTTTTGAAGTTTAGCGAAAATGATCATTTGTTACTGAAAGTCCTTTGTAGTTAGTGATGCTGATCTCCTGGGGCTCAGTTGTAACGCTCATGAAACCCAAGTGATAGGAGACAATCAGGTGAATGCCTTGAAGTTTGAGATGTCCAATTCACTCATTACCTGGAGACAGTATCCCTTTCCCAGACAGGCTCACTCAGATCAGCGCCCAGGAGCAAGACCCCGAGAGACCCATTCACAGGGGACCCGAAGAACAGGCCGCTCTTTCCCATGGTACTGGCCCTGCCTTACATTTGGGGGCCAGGATGGCAGAAAGACTCTCGCTGCTTGCCAGACTGGGCTGAGGGGGGAGATTTTACTCAAATAGTGTCCATGTGACCTTTTACTTACCTTGGATTAGTTGTCCAAAAAAGGGGGTGGTTTGGCGCCCAGCTCACAGGAGTTGAAAGAATTAAATTTGATTAGTGTCTGCATGCCCCTTACACAGTAAGTAGCGTTTAATAGGTACTAAATAAACCAATAACAGCCAGCAGTTGTCGAATACTTCCCTACTGAGTACTGTCTAAAGGCAGCCCTTGCCCTCTGAGAGCTCCTATTTCCAGGGCAGGAGATTGAGGAGAAAAGCAGCAGGTATTAAATGAGGTGACACAGGAAAGAACAGGATATATAAGAAGCCAGCAGAGGATCCCTAAGCTCCTGGAGGGACTGAGAGAGACTTCAAGGGGAAAACTCTTGGGCATTCGTGGGGAGACAAGTAGGCATTTCCAGGAACAGAACCGGGAAGAAGGGCAAAAGCATGGAGGGTTAACAGCTCTTCTTTGTCCCTTCCCTGCTACGATGCTGTTGTTACTTATCCTCCCTGAGTTCCAGGGCATGGAGAGGCAGTGTGTGCAGTTTGTGGCCAAGAACACACACACCATGGCTGCAGTCTGGGTTCCGATCCTGGCGCCGTCAGCGCTGGGATTCGGGCCTCATGTGCCTTCATCTGCACGGTGGGAAAAGAGCAGTAAGAGCTATTTGCAGGATTATCCTGAGGGTTAAACGAGGTAATAGATTTGAGGCAGAAAGGGGATGCTACATGGCTACATGTTTCATGTTAGAGTAAATTTTGTAATTATTTCAACCAGCGATTCCCAAATACCTGCTCTGTGTAGAGCAGAAACAGTCGGTGTTTGGGGGAGAAACCAAAATGAGATAGGGCCCTATGCTCCAGGAAATTTGTAACCTAGTGGCAGAGATGGATAGGTAAACAACTTGCAGCGCAGCTGGAAATTAAAGTAGAGCTACGTGGAGGTTGAAGCAACGTGTGGGAGCATCACTAGGAAAGAAATCTGTTCCAAGGAAGAGGAGGAATTCTTGGGAGAAGTGAGGTTGGTGTAGAATTTTCGCCCAGCGCTTATTTTGGCTGGCTTTGGCTCCGTCGTGTGTGACTCCAGGCGGGTCCCTCCAGGAGCACTGTGGTGCCTATTTCCTTCCCTGTGGCCGACTTTGTCCTGGCTCCTCTCCCATTTGTTTACCTGGATGGCATTCAGACGCTTCCCTTCAAACTGACGCTGGAAGGTAAATACGGTAGGTTTCTACCATCGGCCTAAAGGAGATGCGGGAAGGGCAGGAGCTGAGAGCGGGCACGAACTGGGGACTTTTTCTTTAGTGGGAAGAAGGCAGGTTACAGGGAAGTCCCCAGGCCCTAGGCTTTGGAGCCCTGTCCCAGAATTCCCCTTCCAGCCCCTGCGCTGCTCCTGTTCTGCTGTTGGTTCCCAGGACTCCACCGACTGCCCGCACTCAAAGGCGCCCCCTCTGACTTGCAGGATGCCACCTCCTTTGCTCCCCCAGGGCATTGTGAGGCCCGCACTGTGCCTGGGAAGCCGGATCTGAGAAATCAGAGAAGTGAGAGCAGCACCCTCCCCTGCGCTTGCCAGGCTCTACAGGGGTCCCCATGTCTTCCAGGGGCTACCAGCTCCCACGAAGGAGCTGGGTGTCTACTGACCTCCCCCCCAGTGTCTTTTAACAGTTGAGTCCAAGCTACCCTGTTTCTGGCAGGACCATCTCATGGAAGCTGGTTTGTGCCTGACTCTGCCCCACAGTTTGAGCTCTGATAATGTGCCAACCCACCTTTTTGGTCATTCTGATCCTGGGAAGAGAGGCTTATAAGTCAATGCTAACTCAGTCATCTCTGCCTTTGAAAATCAAGGAAAAGGTGAATGCGGGCTGTATCTCAGAGTTGTGGAAAGGACAAAAGAGGGACACGATTCCAGTAAATGTTCAACTGACAGCCTGATTTTTGCCCAGAGTGGTTTAGGGAATTCTTTCTGCAATGTGGTATGGTAGTTAAGAGCGCAGATGTCCAAGGCACAGCAACTTCAAGTCTTGTCTCTGTCACATTTTTAGCTGAGTGGCCTCAAGCGAGCAACTTTACCTCTCTCAGCCTTAACTGCATCGTCTGTGAAATAGGCATGATAATTCACAGTGCCTCCTCACAGGGTTAAAATGAGTCCTTGAGTTGGTATGTGTTTGAGTGTTTGAAACAGTGCCTGGCACCAGTCAGCATTGTGTAGGTGTGAGCTCCTACACTTGTTATGGAGCACACAGAGAAATTTGGGGTGAACTTGTTCTCCTGATGCCTCATTGGGCATATTTGAGGATCTAATGTCTCTTGAGGCCCTATCCAAGGCTTTGATGAAGTTCAAGTAATATGCATGTTCAATTACTGGGTTAGTGGAAGTTCATTGGCATTCATAGGCTTCTGAGAAAGATTGCTGTAGAGATTTTCCCCCAAATTCTAGAATAGCATAAATGATCTTTTTTCCTAATACATCCCATGCAAACATGAAGACAAATCCCAGCCTGTGGTATGCAGAGCCACACCTCTGTTTGAGGTGCCTGTAGGCTGCTCCAGGGTGTGTGCAAACTGTGGATATAAAGACAGATTTTTGTGATGCAGGTTTCCTTTTTGAGACTCGGACCAGCCTGATTCATTCACCATTGTGTGCTGTGTGCTGTGAAAATTTAAACAGCTTTGAGCTGAACACCTGTGTCTTTGTCCTGGCTCTTGCCTTGCAAAACAGGATTTGATTGGACTTCTCTTTTCAACCCAGTTACCCGCCTCCATGCCTGCATTTCTGCATCCCTAACTCATAGTGCTTCAATCAGCTTTTCAGAAGAAATAGCCAGACTTGAAAGGATGAGAAAATAACCTGAAAATTAGATAGAAAAATCCTCTTTATGTTATGTTTATGTTTGATTAAAAACGACGCACTGTAAAATGCCAGTCCCGTAAGACGATTACAACATCTTCATTATGTCCTTTCCAAGGCGTGTCTGTTTAGCCTTTCGGGAAATAACTGAAACCAGCCTTCCCCCCCCCCACTTGTACTTGGGTAGATTTGCAATCTGCAAAATGACATCAGAAGAATAGAGTAAAAAGTAAGGATCCAGAATCCGCACTTACAGACCCGAATGCCGTAGGCCATTGTGACAGATTATGGAAGACCCAGACCACCGTCCTTTCCTACACTGAGTACTTGCTGGTGCTTCTAGGGGTAAACACTGCTAGGAGTTCAGAAGTGAGTCTGAGATCATCCTGGCTCTCCAGCAGAGTGTCCTCCAGGAGTGCATTGCAACAAATCGCCGTGAGGCGAGGAGACAAGCAAGTGCTATGACGGAGTCAGTTGCGTTGCCTGAATCTTTTTAGTCTTGCATGAAATTCAAAAGAATCAAGGGATTTTTTTTTTTTTTTTCCATGTGGGAGCATCAGGAATGGCCTCAGGGGAAAGGGGCTAGGTTGGATCTTGGACCTTGGGAAGGATTTCTGCAAATAGAGATGGGAGAGAGCATGTTCTAAGCAAAGGGCATGAGGAAAGAGCACAAAAGCCGGGGTCGGGGGAACAAAGGCACAATAGGGAACATCCTGCAAGGGACCCAGTTCCTGGTGTGCTCCCTAAGCTCTGCAATTATTTGCATTTTTCAATTAAATGCCATTGAGGTTATCTCCTTATTTCAAAAAAAAAATCAAAGCTTTAGTTACCATTCTATTAGGCCATCTTGTTCTTGCTGAACAGATCTGTGTTACCGTCTCTCTCTGAAGAGGGCCGTGTTGTAGCTGTAGCTGGTGGTGTAATTGTGGTAGGTGCCCTCATTGCCATAAAGGCAGGTATGTTCACCACAATAGTCATTTATTTCCTTTTAACCCTGTAAAGAAATGAAAATCAGATATAACTGAACTCTGGCTCCACTCTCTCAGATGAGGTTTCTAGAGAAAATGTTATTTTCCCCTTTTTGATGGTTGCTTGGTTTCGTGGATCTGGTGGCTTGAGTGCAGGTGTATTTCTCGGGACTGGTTGGTTGGTGTCTTTCAGAGTTTACAAAGCAGCCTCCTTTCCAGCAGTCCAGCCGCTCCCCTCACATATGGGCGAGCCCATGTTTGCCAAGCAGCAGACTCAAATAAAATCCTCCCTCCCTGGACAAAAGACATGCATAATTGGAAAGTCACCTTTAAGGCTAAGTAGCTCTGCGCAGCAAAAATATTTACCAGCTTTTAACAGAAACATGTGAACAAAAGATTATTCAAAGAACCTAACCCTGTCATTATAACTATGTGAGTCTACGGTTTCATGGTCTCTATTTATTTACTATTGACTAAGGATGGTAACCACATTGATCTCTTCCGAGAAGCCGTCTGTGGGCTCTACCTTCTTTTTGTTTCCTCTGCCTCCTAAAGCATTTCCTTGAATGCTCATGTGCTCCATAACTCTCTTTCCTTCTGCCTCTCACTCATGCTTGTCTTTTACCCACATCTGCCCTGCTCCCTGCCCACTTTTCCCACTTCCTCTGGACTTGACCATCCACCATCCTTCTGGATATCCCGCTCTGCCTGGCGCATTTTGACCCTGCAGTCATTTGTAGACCCAGCTCATTTAATGGATATTAATTGAGAGCCTCCTCCCTGCTGACATGATGCAGTCCAAGAAATGGGTTTTCAAAGGCAGCACTTGCCCTTTGGGTGCTCATAATGTCGTGAGGTGAGACGGGCAAGTAAACAGCCCATTACAAGACAGAAGTGCTGGTGCAGCTGAAATTCTGCTGCAGAGGGCAGCAGGAGGCTTTAGCGACCCATGGGAGGACCAAGGAGGATTGGAAGATGAAACCTGCCCCAGCCCAGGCCCTCCTGGGGCTGCCTTCTCCAGCCCCCTCCACCTTCCTGTCTGCTCCTTGGCATTCCATAAAGACCCCTGTCTCAGTACTTCGTAGGCTATAGGTGTGTGCTTATTCTGTCCAGCCAGTTCCTATGAGTAATTGTACACCTCTAAGTTGAGAGCGGGTAGGACACATTCTGTAAACTGTGACTTCCTGTGACTTTACTTTATCTGTAAAGTAAGAATGGAGACTTAGAATTCTTGCCATCGTTTTTCTGGTTTGAAAAAAATAAAACCTTATGATTATCAGCTAAAACAAGTACATATTTATATGGAAAACCATATAGATGTTTTGCCTTTATTCTGTGATGATGCAGACATGATATAAAAGTGAATTTCTTTAGTAGAATTAATTTAAGAGAAATTGTTTTTTTTTTAAATAGTTCTGAATATGAAAGTTTGTTACCAATGCCAAAACAGTAGTCTTGAAGGAAATGTATGGTCAGAAGGAAATTCTACTTCCTTGGATAGACTTTGACTCTAAAAGTCTCTGCTTTCTGTCTTAAAAAAGAGAAGCTGAACTGATTGTTAAATCAAATATGTATACTAATGCAGTTTAGTGAACCTTCCAAAAATCATTTTGAAGTGATTCGAAAGATTCTAGGAAGTATAAGGATTTGGGTTGTTTCTAAATTCAGTAGCCCATGATTTTTAAAGATGTTGAGTCTCAGTTTGAGTCCTCAGGATTCATCACCATTAGTAGAAAACTTATTTAACAGTACAGGGCAATTCATGGTAAGCCTTACTAGACCACTTCTTATGTGTGCAAGAGCACCAAAATGTAACTGGGTTTTCTCCACCATCAGTGCACATAGCATTTGGAAATTTAGAAATTCAGAATCACTTGCTGTCAGGCCAGGCTCTACTGCAAGTTGTCATTACAGGTGGTATTGAGTATTCAGAAGTCTGCCTTGATTATTTTTTTAATTTCATTTTCATTATAAAGCCTTCCCGGAAGATGGTTTTGTTTTATAAGTTTAATTCAGTTTAGCTAGTATTTATCATTTATTATTTGGGCAGGCCCTGGAAGGCTCATTAGGAAGATCAAATACACAGTATAATTAACCGCCGATGTAAGAAAAACTGCCAAGCAAAGTGTTTAAAACCAGATTATTTTATCACCCCTTTTATGAATTTCCAGTGTAATAGAGAAGATAGGACAAATAAGGGAGCGTGTAGTTAGCCAATACCATGAGTTTTATAGAGGGACAGAAAGACCTGAAGTAACCGCAGGTGGGTTAGGCAGACAAAAGCCTCATTTAAGAAATGAATTGTAAATGGCATTTTGAAGGCAGAGGTGGCAGCATTGTAACGACCTGACCTGAGCACGCCTATCGTGAGAGCCAAGAACAGCCCAAGTTCATGGTGACTAAAGAGGACTAGACAAGGGGATCCACTGGCAGTAAACATTGCCTACTGAAGACTCGTTAACAGAATGTCTTTTTATTTTTTAAGATTTATTGATTGATTGATTGATTGATTGATTGATTTGACAGACAGAGATCACAGGTAGGCAGAGAGAGAGGAGGAAGCAGGCTCCCCGCTGAGCAGAGAGCCCGATGCGGGACTTGATCCCAGGACTCCGGGATCATGACCTGAGCCGAAGGCAGAGGCTTTAACCCTCTGAGCCACCCAGGTGCCCCCAGAATGTCTTTTTAAACAGATCATGCTACTGACCTATGCTTATGTCAGTGGTGATTTTTTTTAATTTTAATATTCTCTGTTTTTTGGATAAATGATGCATGTTCGTTGTTCAAAATTTTAAAGTTACAGAATGGAAGACTGAGTGATCAGTCTTTCTCCCATTCCTGACTCCAGCTAATCAGTTCCTTTTCCTAAAGACCACCAATGTTGTTAGTATCTTCATAAAATTTTTCTAACATGTATACGTACAAATATACATTTTGTCCCCTTTAAAATAAATGGTTACATACCACAAGTCCATAATTGCTTTCAAGATGTTTTGGGTCCAGATATGTTTTAGAATTCAGAATTTATTGGATTTCAGAAAAGCAAAATGACACTTATTGCATAAATTACTTAATATCTACAGGGCGTCTGAACAGCATGCCATAATCAAACATAATTGACCAGGAACCTGAATAGTCACACCAAATGGGATAAATAAGAAGCATAAATAGCTTCATGTCCGTTGCATTCAGGTGTTACTGTCAAATAGGTTTGGGCATTAAACTTGAAATTTGGGGTTTTTAAAGCTTTTTAGATGTTAGAATTGTTCAGATAAAGGATTGTAGCCTAGAATGCAGGCTGTTCTATACCCTGCTGTTGTTTTTTAATTAGTAGTGTATATTGGAAGTCATTCCATATCAGTACATAAAAAGCTTCCTCATCCTATAAGCAATTAGAATTGATTCATATACTAGACTTCTATTAGAAAGTAACTTAAGTACATATGTAGTGCTTTGTGTACTTATACATTTATGTGTATATAGATATATGAGACTCATATGTATTGGTGCAATTTAGAGCAAAAGCAGGTCTCGGTCAATTTTTTCTAAGGCTTTGTACAATAGTGCCTTTTTTTTTTTTAAGTATAAACAATAATACCATTTTATGAAACACACACACACACAGACACACACAGTTGAGCCAAACCCAACAGAGCCACAATATACAACATTATAATTTGTTCGGTGTGGGGTTTAAGAAAAAAAAAAGCCTGGGGAACTGGAATTTACTTTTCAGTATTCCTTAGGAGAATTCTTTGCCAAGTAAACATATGCAGGTTTATCTGTAACATCATTACCATTATCCTTTGTAGCCTCCTTGCTACCAGGAAAGGCAAGAGGCTGTTTCAATAAGGGAGACACTCTTTTTAATTGGTGCGTCAGCACCAATGACTGAAGGAGAGAGACTGGTAATAGCATGCGCTGTTGTCACCGTGCACCGGTGTTTCGGCAGTGAAGTCTGACTAAATAAGGCAATGCCCAAGTGAGCCTTATCAGTGCTTGACCGCAGTGATGGACGGGCAGCTGCTGAGCGGTGCCTGTCCGCCCGCTGGCAGTCCCTTAACCTCCTGGCAGAGGTGCGCTCATCACCTCCCCCTGGAGTTCCTACCTGCAGAGCCCCGAGTGGTCGCCGCCTGCCTTTTATTTTCTATAAAACTGAATGTGAAACTTAAAAGCCTCTAGAGAGGCTGAAAGAGAGCTCAGCTTACTGTTCCAAAAATGTGTTATGCATGTAAGCATACTTATTTTTAGTGATGTGTCAGGGGAGATTTTGTTGAAGAGTTCATTCACCACTCCTGGCTCCCAACAGCTCTGTCCCCAGCCGCCACAGCGCCGCCCCAGCCCGCCTCCCCAGGCTGGGGCCCGCCCCCCCTCCCCTGAGGCAGGAGACTCACAGCCGCTGCCACCCCTCGGACTCCTTGGGTGCAGGCTGCAGGGCAGGGAAAGGAGGAAGCGAGGAAGTGGAGGAGAAGTGGGGGAAAGAAACTTCTAATCCCATCTAGTCCATCAGCTTGCCTTTTTGCTTTTCATTTCTCCGGTCTCCGTCCTGCATCGTCTATATTTACCATTCTGTGTATTTATAAAAAGAAAATGGGGCAGATTTTTTTTTTTTTGTAGGCATCAATCCAAAGGTACAATTCAAATGCCAGCAATGCCAGATCTTCCGTTAATATTAGTATTCCAGCCTACAAACTGGGCTTCTGATCCAGGCTTGGCTGTGCAGTGCTTGGGGCCTGGGGGGTGGCTGTGCCCATGTGGACGTGTGAAAGAGCTTCCCGGAGCACGCAGTTGTGTGCTGTAGCGCTCTACAACAGAGCTGAGAGATTACAGTCCATGTGGGGTCACAGCGCTGACCTGGATTCATCACTGGTGTCCATCTTCTGGCCCCCTTCACTGTCCCTCCCCCAGCCTTCTCCCTTCCTCCCTTCCTTCCCTCTCTCCCTCCCTCCTTCCTTTTGTTTTCCTAACCTTTAGCTTGGAAGGTTAAAATAATCCCATTTCTCAGGTCCTGGCTTTCTGTCTACAACCCTCAATGGAAGGGCCCTCTCTTCTTTTCCCTCTTTCCCCTTTATCAGTTTCCCCAGGCCCATTCCCTTCCCCTCCATGACCGCCCAGTGATAAATGTTGATTTTACGCCATTGATTCTGTGTGAATAGAAAAGCATAGTGTTGTTTCTAGATATTTTTAGTTTATATGAATGGCACTGCATCACACCGCTCATTTTCTTCTATTTGTAATCATTTAACATACTAATAACATTTT